TAAATCTCAAAAAGGGGCCCTTTTTCCTTTTTTTGGGGGGGGGGGGGGTTAAACATGATGGTGTGCTACAAAAACACTGCATGCATTTGAAACCGGTTCCTTTTAAGCTACATAAAATGATGTCATGAGTTTCATTTTGTTAAGTCCCTGGCATGGTTTCTAAAAACGAGAAGCAATCTATCTTTACAAACACTCCTTTCCTTCTCATTAAAATCCCCCAGCTGAAACCTACCTTGAATTGCAATAACCTGCCCACCCCACAAGCCCTGGTAAACTCGTGAATCAGAACAGAGAGGATTCTGATGCAACACTAGGGTTGCAATAAATTGCAGTTTCCAGCACTAGATTAACAGCCATTCATTCATTGGCAAAATGGAAACTCTGGTTCTGGGGGGAAGCCGGAAATAAAGGCAGTGGACTTTTTTTTTTCCTTTTATACTAGGATGCTCTCTCCTCCTGGTGACTGAAGACGCTACTGGGGAGGTCATATCCCTGGAGGTGCGTTGCAAAGGAGTGTCCTACCTGGACCCAAGACAGCAGTGAGGTCTGCATATATAGAGGGCGTGCAGGCACCCTGCTGCCAAAGCAAACCCATTCCTTGCAGACCCTCCCCACATCTTCTGCTCCCCTGCAGCGTAGGCTGCCTTCTCTTCTTCACCCTTGGTTTTCCCTTTCAATAAGGCAGGTTTCCAAGCACCTCATCTGGTTCCTTCCCCTTCTGTTTCCCCAGAGGTTCCAATTCTCCTCTTCTTCCCTCTACCTGAATGTCCCCTTTCCTCTGACCCCCAGCCCATCCCCTGGCCCTACCTGTTTCCCCAGGACTTCACTCCCCTCCCTTCTTCCCTCACCCTTTCTCTAACCATCAGGCCATCCCTTGGCCCTACTTCTTTTCCTTGTGGGCTTCAGTCCTCACCCCTTCCCTCCCTCCACCTGGATCTCCCCCTTTCTCTACCTATCTGCCTGTCTCCTAACCCCAGCTTCTTGCCTAGGGGTTTCACTCCTTCCCTCCCTCTGCATCTCCTCCTTTCTCTAACCACTGATGTGCCCCCTGGCCCTAGCTCCTTGGCCAGGGGCTTTGCTCCCCTCCCTCCCTCCTCAGCCTGAATCTCCTCCTTCCCAACCTGGTTTAAACAGCAAAGAAAATAAAGGAGACGCCAGCCCTTTACCCAGGACACACACACCACCCCCAAACACCTGACCCAGACACAACCACAAACACCCAGTCCCACACTCAGACACCCATGCCCCCACCCAGCCACACCTGCGCACCCACACCAACCCATGCAACCCAGACACCCACTCCCATGCTCAGACACCCACACCCCCACACAGATCCAGCCACTCCTGCATACACCCACTCCCACACCACACTCGCACCTACCCTCCACCCACACCCCTGCAGACACCCACCTACCCTGCACCCACACGGACCCTTCCCACACCTAGACACCCGCCCCACCTACCCTCCACCCATGCCCCTGAACAGACCCAGACACGCCCCCCACACACCCAGAGGCACACCCCCCTTACCCTCCCCCCTCCCCCAAACACCCACAAGCACCCTCCCCCCGGGCCTGCGCACCTGGTTGCCCAGCACCGCCACGGCGCAGGCGGTGGAGACCTCGCGGGGCCCGAACCAGACGGAGGCGACGCGCGAGGGCAGGCCGAGCAGGAAGACCTGCGCCACGGCGCACACGCTCTGGGCCAGTAGCGTGACGACGTAACGGCTGGGCCGCAGGCTGAGGCACTTGCCCCAGGCGCCCAGCGCGTTGAGGCCGGCGCCCAGCAGAGCGCAGAGGCGGAGGCCGCGCGCGTCCAGCAGCCAGGTGGCGGGCAGGATGAGCGGCACGTAGGCCACCATGTACACCAGCGACAGCGCGTCCACGCGCGCCGAGTCCACGCCGTAGAAGCCCACGAACACGCTGCTCAGGATGCTGTACTGGATCCACTGGAAGGCGTTGGCCAGTGAGCACAGCGAGAAGG